GACTGTCTCCTATCCTCCCCGTGACCCTTCTGTAAATATATTTCATCTCCTTCAAATCTTTGCTCAAAATTTGCCTTCCCAGAGAGGTCTTCTCTGACTAAGGAACTCAAAATTATTCTCCCTCCCCCTTCCTAAGGAGTCCTGAGATGGTGCAAACAGTTCAGTGTTTGATTATTAACCCAAAAGCCGGTGGTTTGATTCCACCCAGAGGTGCCTCAAAGGAAATGCCTGGAGATGTACTTCCCCCAAGTCACAGCTTCGAAAATCCTATGGAACAGTGTTCTCCGCTGCAACCCGCGGGGTCACCATGGGTTGACATCAGCTCCCCAGCATTTGGTTCTGGTTTGGTTGGACGGTACTCTTCCCAGCCTGGTGCCATTATCCCACAACCTTTACCTAATTCTTCTCAAGAGTGCTGTCTCCGTTCTCCAGTGCTGCTGCAGCAAAAATATCGCAAACAGGAATTGATTCTCTTGTAGTGTAGGTGGAGGTTGGTCGTGTGGCGGCAAACCGCAAAGCTAGTGGGTTGAAGCCAACTGCCCTGCAGATGAGGCTGTCTGCTCCCGTAAGGGACTGACAGCCTCAGAAATCCACAGTCAGAATGGACTTGATGGCAGTGAGTCTGGCTTTTGGGAAGTCTGAATTCAAGGCAACAGCTTGACAGAAGACTTTTTTCTCCATCAGCTCTGGGGGAAGGTACTTACCTCCTTTCAACATCTGGGGGCTTGGTACCCCTTGGAAGTCTCTATGTGTGTTGGGACTGATCTTCACCTATTAGAGCCCTGGGGGCATAGTGGAGTATGCCCTGAGCTGCTAAGTACAACATCAGCACTTCAAACCTACCAGGCACTCTTCAGAAGAAAGATGAGACTGTCTACTCTCAGAAAACCCAAAAAGGGCAGTGCTATTCGGTCCTACAAAGTCGCTATGAGTCAAGACTGACTCCGTAGCAATGGATTTGCAATTTGATTTGTTTTGTTTTGTTTAAACCTGGGTAATTTCAGCATGGAGACAGGAGTCCAAAGGACGCACTCTGCTCTTTTTCCCTTGCTGATAGTAGCCCTCCCCTCCTTGTCATTCCTGTATCCCACCTCCTACCTCTTGCAAACAATGAGGTGTTAAAAATCACACCCCAGGGGAACGCCTTTCATTTAGGATTAGGGCAGTAAAGAGAGCAAGGGTGTTGTGTCTCACCCTTAATCCTCTCACAACTGATTGGTTTAACACAGCAGTTCACATCATGGGAGATGATTCCCATCATTACAGAACTCTCAAATTGCATCACTACATAACTGCTAAACAACTGAGAATCATGGCCCAGCCAGCTAGAAATCTTTTGGGGGAAAACACAAATCTACAACAAGGGTTTTGTGCCCTGTGACATGCTATATAGATTTTCTTTATTTCCATGTTTATTGTTTGAAAAGGCAGGGTCCGTGAGAGTGGGGATTTTTGGGTGGTTGAGTGGTTTTGTTTCATGCTGTATTCTCAGTGCCCAGAATAGAGCCAGGTATATTAAAAATTCTCACTGAATATTTATTGACTAAACCAATTCCTCGGGGCCATTGCAGTCGCTTCCATTTTACTTATAGAGACTCGATTGGACAGAATAGAAGTGGCCCATAGGGCTTCTAAGGCTGTAATCTTTACAGGAGTAGATTGCCCCATCTTCCTCTCATGGAGTACATTTGATGGACCTTTCGGCAGCGGTCAGGAGCATAAGCACTGCCCCATCAGGGCTCTTCCTGTATACACCCCAAAACTCAAACCGAATGCACTGCCATCGAGTCGATTCCAACTCACAGCAACCCCACGGGACAGAGCAGAACTGCTACTGTGGGCCCTGAGACTGTCACTCTTTCCAGGACTAGAAAGCCTTGTCTTTCTCCCTCAAAGTGGCTACTGGTTTCAAATTCCTGACCTTGCAGTCAGCAAGTTCTACATTGCAGTTTACTTCCTCCTCCAAATATTTATGGACATTTAATTTCTGATCTCATCAAAACTGGTTGTTGTTGTTGTTTTTAAGTTACAGGACTAGAAACCCACAGGGGCAGTTCTACTCTGCCCTGCAAGGTTGCTGTGAATCAGCTTGATGAGAGAGAGCTTGGTTTTGAGAAAGTGAAACCAGTAGACTAGGTGGTCTCTGAAGTCCCTTCATTTGTTTTCACAGCCAGTGGTTATGAGCACCAAGGTCACTTTGGATTCTAAAAAGATTCCATTGCTTTGAATATGGTGGGGATCGGCAAAATGGAAAGAGTACAGAAATGGAGTAAGTCTCTCTTTGGTCCTATGAAGGATCTCCAGTGACCCCAGGGTTAAAGCACTTGCCTGCTAGCTAAAATCAGCCTTCTTGGTGGGAGGAAGGGAAGGCAGTCTGTTTGGGTGAAGATGTACAGCCTTGGAAATGTGATGGGTTAGTTTCTACTCTGTCCTATCAGGTAGCTATGTTGTTTTTGCTAGGGGCCATCAAGTCATCTCCAATTCATAGCCACCCTATACACGCGAGGAAGAAACATCACACTTGGCATGTGTGAATTCACTGTTGCAACCACTATGTCAGTTCATCTTGTTGAGGATTGTTTTACGCCGGGTTGAGTAGAGAAACCAATCCAAAGACACTCATATATGTACAAGAAAGAGCTTTATGTCAAAGAGTAATTGTATATTAAGGAAACATCCTACTTTGGGCCTCTACTTAAATCCTACCTCAGTAGAATGGTTTGGTCTAATAATGTGCCACTGTACGATACCCACCTTCCTGACACGATCTCTAAAGACAAAATAGGTGCATAGGCAAATGTAGTGAAGAAATCTGATGGTGCCTGGCTATCAAAAGATATAGCATCTGGGGTCTTAAAGGCTTGTAGTTAAATAAGTGGCCATCTAGCAGGGAAGCAACAAAACCCACATGGAAGAAGCACACCTGCTTGTATGCTTATGAGGTGTCGACAGGAAGAGGTATCAGAAGTTCAAAAAACAGGCATCCAAAGTGATATGAAGGGGACTAGATGTAGTGGAGACCCAAAGTCCACCAGCAAGATAATGGGGCAGTCCCTCTCAGAAGGGTCTCATGGAGTGGAGGATAAATCCAGGTGCGGTGTGGCACTGATGAACCCATAACTATCCGCTTGTTCTTTAACATTTCCTCCCCTTATGGTCCATACGTGATATACTTCATTGGTCATGTTAGACTTTCATATGTTCATTTGTACATTTAAGATCACTCAGTACATGGTAGTCAAGATAGCTGAATGCTCAGAGACAGTAACAGGAGTAAGGGGTCCCTGAGATTACAGGAAGTAAGAGGGGGTAGGGAAGAAGTGGGGAGAGGGAAGTTGATAGCATTTATGATTGTATAGTTCCACCCGATGGGACTGAACAACAGAACTCTTTGGGAAAGAAAGGGAGATTTTATATATATATTGATATATTGGAAGGAGTAAAATATGTCAATAAAATATTATTTAATAAAAAAAGAAAATGTCCCAGTCCAGTCCAAATCAAGTCCCTAAGTCTGATATTAGTCCATAATTCTGATACTAGTCCATAAAACCCTCTCCAGACTCATGCAGCACATGCAATGATGCAAAATGCAGGATGATCACAGGCCACTGGGTGCAAGGTTTGGTGGCTCCAGCGGCAGTGGTAACATCTCCAGGGCTCTCGCAAGTCTCAGTGTGGCTCTTCGTGGCTTACCAACAAGAAGGTGAAAGCAGAGAGAGGGTCCCGCCTCCAGTGAGCCATTTATCTCCGTTGTCCTCCAATCAAGCTGCAATCACATTTCTGACTCACAGAGACCTTATATAGGGTTTCTAAGTCAGCAGACAGCCTCATCTTTCTCCCACCTGGCAGCTGGTGGGTTCAAACTCCTGATCTTGCTGTTCACAGCCCAATGCTGACCAGACAGAGCCATTAGGCCTCCTTAAGAAGGCTGAGTCCACTGTATAGCAGAGTTCAGCGTTGGTTTGGTGCTATGAGTGAAAGGAGAGAGATGAGGCTGTCTCCTCCCATAAAGATGTACAGTTCTACCCCTGCCCTATAATGTCATCATGAGTTGAATGCATATGAGGTGACTGAAAACACTCGGGTTAGGCGCACCTTAGGCCTCAAAGTAACCTCCATGCTTTTCAACACGTAAAGAGGTCTGATGCAGCAACACCTTAGAAGCAAGGATGGAGAGACTTCATCTCCATTCTTTGGGAATGTCAAAGAGAGACCAGTCCCTGGAGAAGGGCATCATGCTTGGTAAAGTGGAGGGACCGAGAAGAGGAAGACTCTCCACAATAGGGATTGACACAGTGACTGCAATAATGGGCTCAAACATTAGAACAGTGGTGGCGATGGCTCAGGAGAGGGCGTTGTTTTACATAGGGATCACCAGAACTCAACAGCACCTAACAAAAACAACGTGAGTCGACATTGACTCGGTGGCCCTGAGTTTGGCTTTGTTTTGTTTTTTCACTTTTGGCACTGCGGGTGGGTCTCCTCTCCGACGTAAAAGCGCTTTCATTGGGCACCACCCATCCTCCCCCCAAAGTGAAAAATTCGAGTTCAGAAAGTTCCCCTTCATTCTGAGGAACGGTGGCTGCCATCCGGTAAACAGTTTTTTGAAAAGAAACTATCAACCAGAAACAGCTTGGGGAAAGGAAAGAGGGGGGGAAAGGGGTGTGTGTGGGCGGGAAGCATGGCTAATTTCCTTCTTGGGGAAAGATCAGGTCCCCCTAACTAACACCAGCATCCCTCTACAGGCCCTGGCAATACCTCGGGGTCCTCTAGCCCCCTCTCCCCAACAGGCTAGCTATTGGGGATGGAGCTAGGTATGAACCCCTCCCCTTTTGAGCGTGCCAGCCAATAGCGTGGAATCCAGGAGGGGGCGGAGTTACAGCCAGAACACCACCCCTAGCTACCCTTGCAGCAAATCAGTGATAGTGGGGTGTGGACTCTCCCCGCCGTCTCCGCCTCCCAGCGCTGGGCAATTTAGAGCCGCGCGCCGGCGGGAACGTAAGATGGCGGAGTAGCAACGCGAAGCAGATAGTACCGAGTCTCCAGCTGGACTTCGGTTCTCGCCTCGGCTGCAGTCAGCGATCACAGAGCTCAGAGTGCTCAGGGTACCTGGCCAAGATGCCCAACATCAAGATCTTCAGCGGCAGCTCCCATCAAGACTTGTCCCAGAAAATTGCCGATCGCCTGGGCCTGGAGCTTGGCAAGGTGGTGACTAAGAAATTCAGCAACCAGGAGACCTGGTAAGGGTGAAGTTGGGACCCGGAGCGGGCCTTCACCTGCCCGGATCGGGGGGGGGCGGCTGTAGCGATCGGAGGGGGAGCTTGGTGCGTGCGCGCCCCGCGGGATGTTTCCGTTATTTTACCTCGCCCGGCGAGGGTCACGTTTATTCTCACCGTGCGTTAGGGTGGAGTCAAGATGAAGCGCGAGGCGAAAGTGGGTTTGAAGGCAGGGGACTGGAGGACCCAACGTGGGCACAGTGGCTGCCTAGTGCGAGGGGAGGGAACGGGCGCTTAGCCTCGGCCCTGGGGACACGTGGCTTTGTCGGTTCGCTATTGAGTCAGGCTGGACTGGGTTTGCTTCAGATCTTGGACCAGTTTGCCTCGTAGCGTCGGTTGCGTACTGAGACCTGGTCTCACTCCTAGAATCCAAGGAGCAGTTCTTCCAATTCGAGGTGGTACCGGCACTTGGTGTTTTAATAGTGAAACTGACACGGACTTCAGGCGCGAAAAATGATGACGGAGGACTTCACCTTAGTTTGCCAACCGTTGGCTCTTCACATCTTTAGACTCTTCCGAATGGAGCCATACTTAATGCTTGCTATCCCGTCTCAGCTTCAGCCACCCCACAAGTATTTTAAGGGACCTGTAGTTCTGGAATATGGAGCCATACTTGACGTGAAATCGGGCTGAGTGGATGAAAGGGGCACGTACATTCATTCCCTGGCTATTCCAGCTCAACTTGAGCCACCCAGAAAGCCCTTTCACGGACCTTAATCCTGGAATCTTTGACCCCGCGCCGGGCAGCTAGTGCTCTGTTAGAGCGATTCTGAAGCTGTGTGAAGGGATTTAGAAAAGTTTCCTACCTGAATGCTGAGGAAAGGTAGTGGAGTGGAAGGAAGACAGGGATGGCATTAAAAAAACACAAAACCACTTCAAACTCACTGCCATCGAGTCGATTCCTACTCACAGCGATCTCGCGAGTTTCTCCCACGCAGCACGTGGAACGTGGCTTCCCCTCCCCCCAATTGCCTTACCAGTAAGATCCACCATAGTGATAAACGGATTCCTTGATCTGTCAATGCCCCTTCCCCCTAAATGTCCTAGCTTCTGGTGTAAGGTGTTGCCCTGTTGATCAACGCAAATAGATGCGGTTATCTTTCAGGAGATTGGTTTTACTTTACGACCAGTTACATTTGTTAAAGATGACTTGGAGCAGTTTTTTCCTGTTAGGGGTTTTGTCTTTCCTATTTCCTTTAAATTCGCTCCCTTCATCCTTTGTAAGAAAATAATATATTTGTATTTATTTATGTTTGAATCCTGCTGATGAAAGTGTTTGTGTGTCCTGGGCAGCTTCGGTCAGCATGCTGATTGTGATGCAAATGACTGTGCAAACACTGGTGCCATCTGTAACCAGGCAATACCCAATACCTTCATCAAAAGACACTAGCGAAGCTGCTGTCTTTTGCACTGGAGCTGGGGTGGGGTGGGGTGGGGTAGGGAGCATAACAGAGAGCACAAAACAGGATCAGATTTGGCAAATGGCATTGTAGCCTAATGGAGAACACTTTTCATTGAGTAGGGATTTGGGTTTTTTTGCCCCATGGCTCTGTAGTAGTGTAGTAGTTAGGCATAGGGCTGCAGTCTGTATGGGGGGCACTTTGAAACCAGCAGCAGCTCTGCAGGAAAAAGAATGGCCATTCTATGCCAGTAAGCAGTCTCAGAAACCCCCGGGGGTGGGGTGGGGTGGTGGTGGTGGTTTGGAGTTAGCATTGACTCCATTGCGGTGAGAGTTTTGGTTTTTGAGTTTATGTCCCTGTGAAGGTGCCCTGGTGGCTTAGTGATTCAACATTGGGTTGTTCCACAGGAGAAAGATGGGCTTTGCACTTTGATTGAGTTAGTCACCGAAAACCATGGGGGCAGTTCTACCCTTTCTTGTAGAGTCACAATGAGTCTGCTTTGACACCATGGCAGTTGAGTTGGGGGTTTTTGGTATGGTGCCATCCTGTAACCATTGGATGGTATCTCGTTAGGGCTTTTCACCACAAGGGCAGCAGTTCAAACCCACCAGCCACTCCAAGGAAGAAAGATGAGGCTGTCAGCTCTGGTAAAGATTTACAGCCTCGGAAGACCTATGAGCCATTACGAATCAGAATCCCACTCCATGACAGTGAGTTTGGTTAAGAGAACTCTGGTCATTAAAGCCTTTTCTGAGAGGGTACACCCCATATGCCTGTAGGCTAGCAGTTCTCAACTTGTGGGTCTCGATCCCTTTGGGGGGTCGAACGAACCTTTCACAGGGGTCACCGGATTCATAACAATAGTAAAGTGACAGTGATGAAGTATCCACGAAAATAATTGGATGGTTGGGGGTCCCCAGGCCAAAGGATGAAGACTCCTCCTCATGTCACCGTTTCTGCCCTTCGCATAGCAGACACCACATGCTGGGCCACATCCGTTAACGTTAAGGTTGACTTTGGTTTTTGTGTTTCAATAGCAGAGGGGAGGGAGAGAACAACCTCGTTTTTCACGGGCTTTTCCCTGGATTCCTTACCACTCAAACCTTTCTCTGAGATGCTTTCGTTTTTTAAGCAACTGGACAGCAACATGAGCAGCTTGGAAATGTTGCATAAGATTAAGCCCCAAATGGACAATTGCTGACTGGTTAGGTTCTTTCCCCCCTGGCTTAGTCATTAGCTTCTTGGTTCCTTCTCAAGACCCAAAACTCAGTGCCATTCTGGCTTATACCAACCCTTATAGGCCAGGGTAGAATGCCCCCTGTGTGTTTGGGGCACTGTAACTCTACAGGAGGAGAAAGCTTTGTCTTTCTTTTGAGGAGCAGAAGGTTGATTTGAACTGCTGACCCTGCAGTTAGCCTAACACGTAAACCCACTGTGCCACCTGGGCTCCTATACACATATCTGTAGTCCTCTCAACACTGCTATGTGGAGTGCATCCTTTTCTTCTCCCCTGTGTTATAGATAGGGCAAAACTAAGACACAAGTTAAATCACTTACCCAACACTAGATAATACTGTTCTTGTGCATTTCTGCTGATACGCATATAGCTTTGGCTTTGGAAACTTAAGAGTCTGATGAAATGTTAATTTTGTTCTGAATAGTGATGAAAACTTACTTTTGGTTTGTTACATCTTTTCCCTGATGGGGTTGAGAGGAGGAAGAACGCTTTCACTCTGGTTTCCTAGAATCTGCCACGTGAGCCTGCCCCTGTTCATCCCATGTCTTGTGTATATGCCAACATCCCAGTAGATGGAATTCTTGAGATTTTCTGCTGAATACCAGCTGACTTTTTGTAGAAACAGTTTATCGGGACATAATCCACATGTCAGTGTTCAATACTTAGATCATATTAAGAGTTGTACGGTCATAACCACAATCAATTATAGAACCTTTTATTTCATGTATGCTTTGTTTTTAGCTCCCCATTTCCCCCAAGGTCCTCTGCCACACCCCAAGAAACAATTAATCCAGTTACTGTCTCTATAGGGTCACCCCTCCTTGATTTCATATACCGAAAAACAAAACCAAAAAAGGTAACAACAATAGCAACATAAGAGGAAAAACCTCAATAGAAAAGAGAGCAGAAAGTATTAAAAATTAGAGCAACTTTAAAATGGGTCAAAAGGGAGCGTCTGGCTCTTGAATTTCCTTGTTGGCGTTTCTTCATACTCAGTAGCAGACATGTGCATGTGTGCCCCATGCTATGAAAGGGTGAAGGAGAAGCTAGTTCTCATTTACTGCATGGATACAGCCCAGTCTTCTAAACCCTTTAAAGCATTGGGAGAGCAATTGACTCAAAGTCATTTGGAGAACACTCCATTAGCTAGTGGGTGAGAACGAGGAGAATGTCAGCCTCTGAATTGCTGAACCAGACCTTTCAGCTTAATATTTTACAGCAGAACCTGTTAGCGCTGGAATTCGATGGAACTGGCTTGGTTTTCTGGGTCTCATAAAGTTTGCTGCCTTTGACAGGATGTAGTCTTAGCCCTTTTCTATGGCTTATGAGCCTTGGTGGCACTGTTGGGTAAGCGTTGGACTACTAACAGTAAGATCAGCAGTTCAAACCCACCAGCTGCTTCTTGGGAGAAAGAAGGCTGTCTGCTTCCAGTAAAGATGAACCATAGGAATCAGAATTGAGTGCATGGCATAAGATTTAGTTTAGGGAAAAAAAACAACAAAACAAACAAACAAAAAAAGATTTAGTTTAGGTTTGGTAGAGAGAAAGATTGGTCTATATTAGTGAAACTAGATGTGGACATAGTAAAACAAGGTGGTGTCCTAATTTACCACCTTATATCTTAAAAACCTCTCCTAAATCGTATCCAACATTAAAATCTGATTCTTAACAGGAATCCCCTATACTAAAGCTATATATATTCAGCAGATGTTCTCTAAGGTTAAAATGGGGAGTGATGATTGAATCTTGTGATCCCTGTTTGCAAGAGAGGAAATAGAACGTTAGATAAGGAGATAGCTGCAGCAAAACAAAGGGATTTGGTCACTGTGCTGAGGATTTGACATCAAATGGTTATGGAAGTGTAATGTTGCATTTAACCATATCCCTTGCCTTCCACGAAACTCTGAATCTTATGAATGGGGTCCTTAAATAGTGCGGTTGAGTAATACAATGGGCAAGAGAGTAAATTTTTTTTTAGGTAATTGTATTGGGAATCCATACATCAATTGTATCACACATATTAGTATATATATGGCCATCGTTCTTTTCTAGACATTTACTTTCCATTGAGTCCTTGGGATCAGCTCCTCTTCGCGCCCCCCCCCCCCACCGCCATGGGCACTTGAAAGATTATAGATTATTATTTTCCTATCTCGCGCTGTCTCCCTTCCCCCTCTGGTTTCTGTTGTTCTTCCCCCTGGATGGCGTGGTGTGGTTATGTGCCATTCATTGCAATCAGTACCCCCACCCCTCCCTCCCCAACTTTGCCCCCTCCCCCTCCCCTTTTGGTATCTCTATTTCCATTCCTGTTCCTGGGTTCCATGGGTCGTGAGTTTTATCTCTTGCCTGTACCCATGTACATGCTCCAGTCCAGTCCAGAGTGGGTCTCCTAGCTGGAGTATACGGTGTTAGAAGACAATAATGGGGACACACGTCAGGGAGACAGTGTGGACTGAATCCCCAGCAGCGGGACAAACCAGGAGTGGAGCATAACTGATCAGCAATTGGAGTAAAGCTGATCCACAGAACCTCTGCGGAGCCCCAAGAATGGACTTCAGGCTCGGAGGGCAGCCCCCCAGGACGGGGGGGGGGGGGGGGCAGTGGACAGACCTGGATCTATGTAGGTTTTGGTTTTTTTTCCCTCCTTGTCTTTTCTGAACCTTATGTTTTCTTATTGTTCCGACGAGGACATTGTTGGTTTGCCTACATACATGGGATGGACATGGGAGGGAGGCTCAATGAAAGCAAAGGGGCCCATGGCCCCGGAGAGTCTAGGGGTCAGAAGGAGGCGCGGAGAAGAGTGTGGTGAGTGGACAGCGTCATGGACAGGGGAACAACTAGGGAAGCGCAACCAGCATCTAGGAGAGGGTAGAGATCCTGTGAGTATTGGAGCAACACCAAGCTACTGGGGAGGAAGCACTAAGAGGTAGAAGAAGGGGGAAAGGGTTGCCGGGGCAGGAGGAGGCAAAAGGAAACAGTAGTTTTGTATTGACTCTGACTGTTGAGCCATTTGTAAAGGGAAGTGAGCCCTCACACTCTAATAATGATGGCCTTCTGTCTCATGGAGAATAACGGTGCTTTCCAAACCCAGAGGAATATTTGGTAGTTAGCCCCTTATCCTGTCTTGGATGGGTTGTCAAATTGTCCAATTGTTCACTTGCTCATGATCAAGCAACGTGACTCTGGTTGGTGAACGTGTGCCTGGCTGAGACAAAATCCAGGGGCAGAGTTGACTGGGAAATCAATATGTGTGCTTTCCATTTTCCCCAAGGAAATAGAGACCTTGGTCATGGATCTGAGGTATTGGGGGGATGACTGGGTGGGATTAGAATTTCCTCAAGTAGCTCAGAGACATTCTTGGTCAAGACTCTCAAAGGTAGCGTGAGTGGTCAAGCTGAGACGCTTCTTTAAACTGTCACTGCCTTCTTTGGCCCTACCACCAAACAAGGTGTGCAGCCCCGCTCCCTGGTCACACCTGTTGCATTTCTAGTGCTCATTAAACACACACCTGGCCAGTGGAAAACATGGAAGTTGTTCTACCAGAAAACCCCCCCTAACCCCCTCCTGCCTGTCCATGTGATGTTTTGAAGAATGTCTCTGTAGCCTTTTGAGCTTTGACATAGTTGGCACTACTAGCAGATTCCGTTTCAAGTGCTAATGTGGTGATCAATGAAATGCGCTTAACTTAGAGGATGCAGCCCATTCAACTTGTTATAGCGGAAAGCAAAAAAAAAAAAAAACCTTCCAACCTCACTGCCATCGAGTCAATTATATATAGAAGCTGAATCGAGTTACTGTTAAGTATCTGTAAGTTAAAAAAAAAGTGGGGGAGCAAGCTAGCCCACAATGTCATTCAGCTACTTTAGGGGCCACACAATTAATTGCCTTATTGTTCATTATGGTAGTTGATGTCTAAGAATCCCACCGCAAAACTCTTAATCCAAGGTAGCTCATCCTGGTGAGGTCATCAGGTTGGAGTTCGACTCAAGAGTAGGTATTAGTGGAGTGCCTGCACAAGATGTGAGCAGATTTGTCAAAAATGTAAATTAAAAAAAATCTGTTGTTCCCATTTGACCCTGGTGGAGCATCTAGGTCCTCAGTTTGAAACTACCATCTGCTCCCTGGGTGCAAAGATGAGGCTTTCCATTCCTGTACAGAGCTGTAGTCTCTGAACCTCACAGGGAGGCAGTTCTACCCTGTCCTATAGGGTCGCTATGAGTTGGCATCAACTCCATGGCAGTGAGTGTGGTTTGGATTTTTGATGCCATCCAAGTGGGTTATCTTAGGAAGGAAGGTAACTTCAGTCTTCTAAATGTTTGCACAGCCAGTTCGTATTCTGGCTAAAAACGAGGCAGCCTGACCCTGATGGGTATCGCATAGTCTCTCCTTTTCTCACTTCCTTCTTTCCCTCCTCCCTTCCACCCAAATCATCTTGGCTCACAGGGGGTACAGGTGAGCATGGTCACATCTAGTTCCTGCCTTCAGAAAGGGAATAAGCAGGGTGATGCGAGATTAATTAGGGAGGTTCACTTTTGATGAAGGACCATTTTAAATTTATACAGAAATGGAGAAACTAGTATGAAGCACCCCTTCCCCACAATGTACCCTTAATCCAGCTAACGCTCGCTGCCACCAGGTCAGTTCCAGCTCATAGCAACCCCATAGGACAGTTAGAACTAACTGCCTCTGTGGGTTTCTGAGACTGCAGTCTTCCTCCTGTAGAGTGGGTTGGTCGTTTCCAACTTCAGACCTTCCGGTTAGCAGCCCAATGCATAACCGACTATGCCAGCAAGGCCCCCTTAGGGATGAATAATGCACTTAATTTTGATTGTGGTAAAACATATATACCCAAATTAGTTAATGTTTTATTTGTACAAATCCTATGAGGCAGTGTAACAGTGCTACTGATCCCCGCCC